AGCAAAATAAAATAAAATAAATAAAGCGAGCTGTTTCTCTTGTAAACAAGGTATGGGTTAGTTGCTGGAATGATCAATTCAGTCTTTAGAAAATATTTATCAAATGTGGTAGTACATGGCTGTAATGCTAGTACTTACGAGGCTGAGGCAGGGGTATGTGCAAAGTTTATTCAGAAAAATCCTCTGGTCTTCCTGAAGATTCTATCTCGAACATAAAAACACAAACATTTTTCTGTGGTGTGTATTCATGCATGTATGTGTGTGAAGAGTAATTGGGTTTGAGGCCAGCCTGGTCTATCTAGTGAGTTCCAGACTAGCTGGAGCTACGTAAGTGAGACCCTCTCTCAAAAAAAGAAAAAAGAAAGAGAGGGGAAAAAAGGAATAAGCAGGTAAATAAAGATAAATGAGAAGTTACCCAGTTGTTTTTACAATAGGCTATTTCATATAGCTTATGGCAGAATGTGTGAATATTAAAATTAATTTTCCTTTTCAAAAATATTTAGGACGATGTAGAAAATAGTCTCTTGGATGACCAAGTTTTGTATAAACTCTCACCCAACTGATGTCTGCCCACAGCATGTCCTGGGGGCACAGAGAAGCCCTGCGGTGGCTACGGGCAGTGTGAAGGGGAAGGGACTCGAGGGGGCAGCGGGCACTGTGACTGCCAAGCCGGCTATGGGGGCGAGGCCTGTGGCCAGTGTGGCCTTGGCTACTTTGAGGCCGAACGCAACAGCAGCCACCTGGTATGTTCGGGTAGGTAGCCAAAAGGTGTGGTGTGGGGCAGAGACAGCCGGGATACCTGCCTGCCCATCTTTACACTGTCTGCTTTTTACCCAGCATGTTTTGGTCCCTGTGCTCGCTGCACAGGACCTGAGGAATCCCACTGTCTGCAATGCAAGAAAGGCTGGGCCCTGCACCATCTCAAGTGTGTGGGTAAGTGTGGAGAACACAGTGGGGCCCGGGCTTTATTCCCTGTATACACTGCCTGCCTACGCCAGCACAGTTCCATTCACATGGAACCCTCAGCCTGGCTGGAAAGGCAGCAAGCCAGGTGTGCACAGTACAGAATGACCTGCATACAGAAGGCACACATCCTGACCAAGGGCAGTGACGGATGACAAACAGCTTCTTGGAATTCTGAGGTGCTGCTTTGGCCAAGAATTTTTTTTTTTTTTTTTTCTGTTTTTATGAGACAGAGTTTCTCAGTATAGCCTTGGGTATCCTAGAACTTGCTCTGTTAACCAGGCTGGCCTCAAACTCACAGATCTATCTGCTTCTGCCTCCTGAGTGCGGAATTAAAGGCATGGGCCACCATTCCTAGCAAATGGAATCTAACCAAAAAAAAAAAAAAAGTGAGATTGAAAAATCTAGCAGTGAGATGACTCAGCAGTTAACAGGTACTTGCTGCCAAGGCAGAAGCCTGAAGTTCAATCCCTGAGACACATGCTGAAAGGAGAAAGCCAACTCCAGCAAGTTGACCTCTGATTTCCACATGTGGGCTGTGGTATGAGTGCCCCCCCCCCCCCACACATATATGCATGCAAATGATAATTTTTTTTTTTTTAAAGAATGACAAGAATTTAAAGCCAGAGCCAGGCAGTGGTGGCTCACACCTTTAATCCCAGCACTCAGGAGGCAGAGGCAGGAGGCTCTCTGTGAGTGAGTTCCAGGCTAGCCTGGTCTTCAAGTTCCAGGACAGCCAGGGCTGTTAACACAAGAGAAACCCTGTCTCAAAACACCCCTCCTCCCCACAAAAAACTTAAAGCCAAATATGGTAATGCATGCGTAGGATTTAGCACTGCGGTGGTGGAGGCAGGAGGATTAGGAGTTCAGTGTCATCCTCGGGCTGCATGAGACCCTGTCTCATAATTTTTTTTAAAAATATTTTTTTAATATACACACTCACCCCCACCTCCACCCCCATATAACAGTCCTGATGTGAGTGGTCCAGGCTGGCAGCAAAGCTCCGTTCTGTCAGTCCCTCAGGGACCCAGGTCCCCTCTGCCTATGGTCATCCCATAAGGTATACGGATGATGCTGAGACATAGCCGCCTCCTGCTTCATGTCTCAGCACTCAGGGAGTGAGAAGGGGCTGATCATTTTAAGGCTGAGTAAAGGCGGAGCGTGGCACTGCCATCTCCATCCCTGTCAAAGGGCTTCGGGGCAGACAGGCTTGAGTGGCTGGCTGGGTAGTGCTTGTACAGCTGCACCGTTACTCCAGTTACTCCATGGCTGGGGTTAGCTTGCCGTCTCTACCTCGCTCGTGATCATAGGCAAGTCCATGCCTGACAGTCCTGCAGAGTGACGCTCCCGACTTGGTCCTCTCTCCACAGACATCGATGAGTGTGGTACAGAGCAGGCCACCTGCGGAGCTGACCAGTTCTGTGTGAACACAGAAGGATCCTACGAGTGCCGAGGTCAGTGTCCGCTGCTGAAGGGAGAGGCTGGGGTGGACGAGGGGGACAGGAGATGCTGCGTCATGCCTGTCCCTCCAAACCTCTGCCTCCTCAGGCTCCAGAGCCCTGGAGATCAGGGGGACCCCTCAGCTCTGCCCTCTCTTCTTCAGATTGTGCAAAGGCTTGCCTGGGCTGTATGGGAGCGGGGCCAGGCCGATGCAAAAAATGCAGCCGTGGCTACCAGCAGGTGGGCTCCAAGTGCCTAGGTGAGTCTTCTACCAGTGGGGGCTGGAGTGTGGGGGAGGCAAGGGAAGGAAGTGTACCACATTGAGTCAGGGTCCCCCTCCCCTGTCCTCCCAGATGTGGATGAGTGTGAGACAGTGGTGTGTCCAGGAGAGAATGAGCAGTGCGAGAACACGGAGGGTAGCTACCACTGTGTCTGTGCTGAGGGTTACAGACAGGAGGAGGGCATCTGCGTGAAGGAACAGATCCCAGGTAAGCAGGGAGGGTGGGAGGCTTGGGCTGGTCCTGAGGGAGAGCATCTTCTTCCCCAGATCCTACTCCGCTGCCACCTAGCCCTCAAAGAGGCTGCACTGAGACCTGGTCCCTGTGCCTGTTCTCAAGGTTGGCTTTTGGTGGCCTCACCCGCCACCTAGAAAGAGAATCAGATTTGGTACCAAAACTCCACCTCTGTTTTCTCACGTCCAATGGGACCAGTCCTCTGTGAAGCCTTGGGCAGCCCCTTCACGGTGGCAGGGTCTCAGCTGCCCCCGCAGAGGCGTTCTCAGTAGGGAATGATGCTGTGTGCTTGGTGAGCCAGCTAGGCTTGACAGCAGTGATGAGGCATGTGGGAGTTGTGGGCAGCTCTGGGAACTGCCAGGGACGAGGCAATGACACCACATGTCACACCTCTGCAGAGTCGGCCGGCTTCTTCGCGGAGATGACGGAGGATGAGCTGGTGGTCCTGCAGCAGATGTTCTTCGGTGTCATCATCTGCGCACTGGCCACGCTGGCTGCTAAGGGTGACTTGGTGTTTACTGCCATCTTCATTGGAGCTGTGGCAGCCATGACTGGCTACTGGTTGTCAGAGCGAAGCGACCGTGTGCTAGAGGGCTTCATCAAGGGTAGATAATCCCCACCACCACTTAGGGGATTTCCTCCCACCCAGGCTGCCCCCGCAGGTCATTTCTCTCCTGCTGGATGCCTGGGGCAGCGTGGTCTCTCTCTGAGACTGGGGTAAACACCCTTTACCTGCCTTACTGAGCAGCCCAGGGCTCCAGTGGTCCTGGGGGTGAAAGAGAAGCCCTGAAGCTGATGCCATGAGATCCTTGCCTAGGGCACTGGCAGGAGGCAGTGTGTGAATTCCAAAAGACAGTTCTCTCTAGAGAGGCTGCCGGTGAGCTGTGGCCCCTGCCCGGGATGAGAGGTCTCTCGGGGGCGGGGCCACCGTTAGCCCCCCTGCCAGGTGCATGCTGCCAGCTCCTGTTGTGTATTCCTCCCACACCCCAGCCACTGACTTATTTATTCATCTCAGGAAATAAAGGAAGGTCTCGGAAACTGGAAAAGCTTCGGTCTTAACAACCTGCCACTGCCACTCCAGTGAAGCTTTCCACAGCCCTGGGCAATTGCGGGCTGCCATGGTAGAGAAGTGGTGGGAAGGGGCTAGAGAGAGGGGTCTGTTGTTAGGAGCACTTGCTGCTCTAGCAGGGGATCCAGTTCAATTCCCAGCACCCATGTGGTGCCTCACATTCATCCTCCAGTTCCAAGGGAGCCAGACTCAGTTCTTCTGACCTTCTGTGTAACAGAAGGCACACATATCATGCACATATACATGCCAGCAAAACATTCATACACATAAAATAAATCTACCAAAAGAGGTTTTAGGTGAAAAAACAAAACAAGACAAAAAGCCAGAAGTGGAGGGAGGAAGGAGAAGACAGAGAAACCAGCTTAGGGACTGGTCTTTCTGGGTTGGATACCAGCTTTTGTTGCAGGGTCTAAATAACGTTCACCTCCAAACTTCACTCTCATTTCTGAAGTGGGCAGAATGCTTTCCGATTAGGTCTAATGTGGGGACTGCACAGCAGACAGGTTTTTGATGAGATAGTAGCTGTTTCTACCAAAGCCAGAGGCAACATTCCTCTGGAAGGCTCTTTGATTCCTGTGGGGAAGGGCCTCCTGTCTCTTGTTAGGGTGTAGGCTCCTGGTTGACCAGAGGGAGGCATGAGCCTAATTGGAAGGGTTTATTTCTTTGGCACAAAGAGGACAGTCAATCCGGACTAGTGAGGTGCATCTCTTCACACCGGAGAGTCAGGGGTACTTGTTCCCTGTTCCCCATGATCAAATCCATGCACCATCCACCCTGTATTCCGTGTAACTCACGGCCTCTGTGCAAAATACCTGCTGAAAAAAATAGAGATATTAAAAAAAAAAAAAAATCAGAACGAGTCAGGTGAATCGAAGCCCAGCTGTGCCCGGAGCTGCAGTCAGGTGGAGGCCCCAGAAGGCCCAATTTTTCAAATGCTCAACTGTCTTTGCTCGGCCACTTCCTTTGGGCGTTGAGGAGAGGGTTCAGGTCCAAGAGAGGGTCCTCCCCGAAGCTGCTCAGAGCTCTATAGTATCACTGGAGGCGCTATGAGACTCGCTGGATTTGCAGCGTGGTTGGTCACCCTGAGGCTCTCCAGCCCGGGCCGGAGCAGGGGCTGGGGTAGGTGGTGGCAGCAGCTGCACGGTGCTGGGCAGTTCATCTAGGGGCAGGCTGTCCACAGACGACAGCCCATGACGCCACGGATTCCAGCTGATCTTGAGCGAGCCCTTGGAGAAGCTGTCCAAGGAGCTGCCGGAAGTCCCCGCGGCCGCGGCGCCCACTGGCGGCTCCACCACGTGCTGCGGGAGCGACGCGCGCAAGCACACCTCGCTGAGCGAGCGGCAGCGGCCTCGGAGCAGCGAGGCGCCCGCGCCGTCGAGCTCAGCGTCGGGCTGGCTGCCTCGGCGAGGCCGCAGGGCGCCCCCTGGCGGCGAGGAGGCCAGGCCGCGGAGGCCGCAGCGTTGGAACACGCTGTCTCGGACCAGGTGCTCCCGGAAGAGCGCAGCGTCGATGCTGCGGCTCAAATTGATGGGCGACGGCGGCCGCAGATCCAGCTCGCTCAGCGACGGCGCGGGCCCCACACTGCCTCGAGACATCCCCGGGCCTCCCGAACGACCGCGACCCAGCGATGCAGCCGAACCCCAGGCTCCGGAACCAGGCGTGACAGGAAGCCCACCTTCTGCAGCGTTGCGAATGAGACTTTTGCTGATGTCCAAGCCGCCTGTGCCCAGGCCACTGGGCCCCGCATAGCAGTTATTCGGTCTCTCGGGCACTTCGCTCTTGCCCGTGGGCGCGGGGCACGCCAGGCGCAGCAGCTTGGCCCAGCAAGCGTGCTCTGTGGGCGGCCTGGGCCGAGTGGCAGCCAGGGCCGCCAGTGCCAGGGCTAGTGCCCAGGTCAGCTCCAGCAGGCGCAGCCAGAAGTGCACGCCCCACCAAGCCCAGGAGAAGCGACCTTCCCGGCCGGGCCCTGGGTACAGCCAGAGTGAGGCCGCCAACTGCAGACCACTGGCCAACAGCCCCAGTGAGCCCGCCACAGCCAGCAGCCGGGGGCCTGGACTGGCATCCCAGCCCCGGGGGCCCTCTAGCAGGCGGCGACGGCACAGGCAGAGTGTGCCCAGAGCCACTGACGCACCCCAGGCACAAGATAAGCCTTGTGTCAGAAGGTTGAGGACAGGCTTGGTGGAGAAGAGGTCAGTGGCCAACAAACCTGCGCCGTGCACTGGCGCCACGACTCCCAGCAGGAGCGGCTTCTGCAGAGGCTGTGGCAGACCAGCACCCAGACCCAGCAGGGTCAGTGCTGCCAGTGCAGTGAGTAGCAAGGGAAAGGGCAAGTTGTATAGCACCAGGCCTGCACGGACCCCCAGCCGTGCCTGAGAGCCGTAAGGATCGGTGAGCATGTAGGCAGATCTCAGCCCTGAAGCCACCAACACCAGAGCAGCAGCCACTAGTGCCAACCGGGGTCCCGCTAGGGCGGCTGCCAGTGTGACCAACGCCAATAATGCTGGAAGCAGGAAAAGCACCCCTACCCCATAGACATGAAGCTCCCAGGAAAAACTGAGCACCCGCCGCAGGGGACCCCAACGGAGAGGAGGTGCGGTGGCATTGGCCGGGGGGCTAGAAGCTGGGGCTGGAGCCATGGAGCTGGCAGAGGGCTCCGGAGGGAGTGGTTGGCCCAGAGCTCTCTGTGTGGTGACTCTAATGAGGCCACGCCGAGATGTCGAGGGGGCTTGGACAGGGGGTGCTGGAGGGTGGCTTTGTGGGCGACCCGGCCATTCCTCGGCATCATCTGCAATAATAACAATATTAAAAGCGTTCTCTGGGCAGTGCTGTTGACAGTGGGGTGTGAAGGCGCATGCTTGTGATAGGAGGCAGGGGCAGGAGAATCAGAACTTTAAAGCCATCTTTAGCTACAAATTGAGTTCAAGGGCAGTCTAGGCCACTTGAGACCCCCCCCACCTCAAACAAACAAACAAACAAACAAGAAACAATACAACAGAACCCCAAACAAACACAAAGTGCTTTTGATTTTTTTCCATATTCAAAAGTGTAGTTGATAAATTAATTTTCCAAGCGCGTCTGTTAAATGGAGATGACACCTGCCACAGTATCTGGGTCATCATGGAAAGGGCATATGTGTAGCTTGGTTCCCACTAGCCAGCAAAGACAAAGACAAGGCAGATGTAAATTCCTTTTTTTTTTTTTTTTTGGTGGTACTGGGAATCGAACCCAGGATCATATGCCAGACAACAACTCTGCCACTAAGGTGCACCTCCAGCCCTTTGTACTTTTTCTTTTCTTTTCTTTTTGAAACAGGGTCTCACTGAGCTACTTACACCAGCCTTGAGCTCAGTTTAGGCAGGTCTCAAACTTGGGATTTTCTTGTCTCAGGACCCAGAATGCTAGGGTTCCGGATAGGATTCAGAATGACTGCGCAAGATATGTCTTTGTTGCACAGAAGAACATTCTAGTTCAAAAGAGCCAGTGTCTTGTCCTGGAGTCCCCAGCAGGCACTGGTTTATTTTTATCAGCTACTCAGAGGAGGTGCCTTTCTCTAGTCAGCCTGGCCCCTCTGCCCATCACTAAGCACAGGCTCTTGGTTCTGCTGCCCTCCCCGCCCCTAGCCATGACCTCACCTGGCTGCGGGGCCCTCCTCACAGGGCTCTCCGTTCCATTTGCAGCTTGAGCAGAGGCTGGGAGATCAGGGATGAAGGACTTGGGGGTTCCTGGAGCCTCCATTGCTCCTCTCACTCGCTGAGGAGAGATGGGGTCTGCTCCATTCATCGAGGCTATTGCTGAAATGGCAAGAATAGTCGCCACCTGGCCTGACCCTCCAGCACTCCCCCAAATCCAGTCCCTCAGGAGGGTGGCACCATCACTCAAATTTGTCACAAGGGGGGAAATGATGTCCGGAGTTACATCTAGCTGACATAGACCATTGGTCCTCACAACCTCACTCACCCCTCGTGGTGATGCCTACCTGGTCTCAGTTGCCCATCAGAAGTATCCGAGGCTGAAGGTGGCGGGGGCTGTGGAGCGGGGGAATCTTGTCCACCAAGGAGGTCAGTCTGTTCGGGTTGGGGTCCCAGGGAGCTGACTTCCCAGGTATCCCCAGCTTTTTGTGGGGGTTCAGCTGGCAGCCCCTCAGGAAGAGGAAGGCTTCTGGCCAATGCCAGGTCTAGCTGGGCTCCAGGCTCCTGAGTGGATGCCACCTCAACTGGGGCTGATGAGCCAACCTCAGGGGCTACTGGATCCTGCAGGGTGAGTAGGGGCCCCTGGACAGCCTCCTGGAAGCCCTCTTCATGTCCACCCTGCTTCTTCAGCACTAATGTCCTCACAGCACCTGTCTCCGGTGCCAGAGTGTGCGGAGAGCCATGGTAGTCCCAGGAGGAAGCCTGTGTGATGTTGGTCTTGCCCTTTAGACCCTCATCCCTAGCTGGCTGCTGTCCTCCTGGGCCTCCGGACTTCTGTGGGGCAGTGGCAAGCGTGGCTACCCTGAGTTGAGGGCTGGGAGTTATAGGGACTAAAGGGAGATGGGGTGTTCCCAATGGGTGAGGGTCTGGTGCTTCTGGCTCTGGGAGCTCCTGTGAACCAGGAGGTCCTGTCCAGCCTTGGGAGGTGAGTGCTCGGGCCAGCTGGAGGTCATCAGTTATTAGGAGCCTTTCACCCTGGACCTCAGGGGCTGCTTTGGGCCCAAGCAGGGCTGGACCTAGGGGAGAGTCTGCAGGCCTCTCAGGGCCTTCAGCAGAGACCTGGAGAATTCCCCTGTGCCAGGAACTCTTATTTCTCGGCTTCTCCCAGAAGAGGTCAAAGGTCTGTGGCTCTGATGGGATCATGTGGGATTCTGAGTTCTCAAATGGCCTGGGAATGCCTCTGCCCAAGGCAGGGCCAGCCCCCAGGCATGGCAGCAGCAACAAGAGAAGACAAGATACACAGCCCTGTGGGCTGGGGGCCATGGTTTAATTCAATGCCTGAGCGTAGAGCCCTTGACTTCACTGGATAAGTCTACAAAAGCAGAGAGAAAAGATAAATTAGAGAGAGATGCTGTCTGAGGGTTAAGGGGCCCCATGATTTTCTCCAAGGGCTGGTGGGAAATAAGAGACACGTTGAACAACAGCAAACAGCATCATCCCTGCTTTTAAAGTTTTTAAAGACCGGGTCTCTCTGCTCATGCCACTTGCTTTGCTTTCAAAACTTCCTGACTCCTCTTTGCTCTTGGGAGAGAATACAAGTTATATTCCTGGCCTTCCAAGGCTGTGGCCACGCCAGGCTACTCAGCCAGTGCCCAACACTCAGTGGGCCACCCTGACACCCAACTCTGTGGTTCTGCTCCCTCACATGGGAGGCCTTCGTCACCTGGTGAAATAGAAGCTTTTCTTTAAGATTATTATTATTATTTTAGTTTTTCACGACAGGGTTTCTCTGTGTAGCCTTGGCTGTCCTGAACTCACTTTGTAGACCAGGCTTGCCTTAGAGTTCGTGGTGATCCACCTGCCTCTGCCTCCCTAAGTGCTGGAATTACAGGCACATGCCACCACACCCTGCTAAAATTTTATAATAAATAATTTTTAATTTTATTTTATGTACATTGGCGTGAGAGTATCATATCCCCTGGAACTGGAGGTGCAGACAGTTGCCAGCTGCCCTGTGAGAGTTGGGGATTGAGCCTGAGTCCTCTGGAAGGACAGCCAGTGGAAGGACTTAGCCACAAAGCCATCTCTCCAGCCCCAAGATTTTACTTTTTGAGACAGGATCTATGTAGCTCTGGCTGACCTGGAACTCACTTTGTCGACCAGGCTGGCCTTGAACTAACAAAGATCTACTTGCCTCTGACTTCTGAGTGCTGGGATGAAAGGTGTGTGCCACCAGGCCCAGCCTTTTAAGTACTTTTAAAAATCATATATATATATATATATATATATGTGTGTGTGTATGTATGTGTATACTGTGTGTGTATATATGTGTATACTGTGTGTGTGTATATATATATATATACATATGCGTGTGTGTGTATATATATGTGTGTGTGTGTGTGTGTGTGTGTGTGTGTATTTCTATACACATATATATATGAGGGTAGTTGTATATGTTAAGTGCAGTGTCTATGAAAGCCAGAGGAGAGTGCTGGATTGCCCAGCGCTGAGTTAGCGGCATCTGTGAGCCACCCAGCCCCAGTGCTGGGTACTCTATAAGACCAGTACTACTTGCTCTGACTGGCTAAGCCCTCTCTGCAGTCCCCGAAATCGAATTTTAAGTTTTTAAAAGTACACTTATGCATTTAATGAAGGGGCTACCTGCCACAGCAAGTGTGTGGAACACAGGACAACTTGTGGGAGTGAGTTCTCTCCTTCCACGTGGGTCCCAGGGATCAAATTTAGGCCCATCAGGCTTGGCGGCAAGCCTCCTTGCCTGCTAAGCCTTTTTGCCTGCCCCCAAATTACATTTATCAAGGCTCAGCTCTCATGAAAGAGAAAGAGGAACATGCCCCTGCATTTGAGGAAGGACCTGAGTTGGAATCCTGGCATCGTCTTCTGGGTGAGTTGCTTTGCTTCTCAGCATTGTGGCTTTCTCTCTTACAAGAGCATCTACCCCAAAGGGATTCATATTAAGTATAAATAATGAGACAGATGAGGGTCAGACCTAAAGTAGGGACTTATAGTATGGTCCTATCTCCTTAGCCCTGTCTGGAAAGCTTTCTTCCCCCAAACTCCCTTCACTAGTTCAATGAATAAACTGAACACAGCTTAGGGATAAAGCAGAGAACAAATTTGAAGAGACTACCTCCTCCCCAATTTGGAGAGACCATTCTAGATGAGATGGACAACAAAGGGTGCTGGAGAGATGGCTTAGTGGTTAAGAGCACTGGCTGCTGTGCCAGAGGACCCGGGTTCAATTCACAGCACCCACATGGCAGCTCACAACTGTCTATAACTCCAGTTCCAAGAGATCTGACTCCCTCTCACAGGCAGTCAAAACACCAATGTACATAAAATAAAAATAAATAAATTATTTTTTTTAAAAGATGGACAATAAATGATTTTAAAGTTAAGGGCCAGTGAGATGGCTCAGTGAATAAAGGTGCTTGCTTGCCAAGCCTGATGATCTAAGTTCAATCCTTGATCAGGGCTCAAATGGTAGAAAGAGGAAACTGATCCCATTGGGTTGTTTTCTGATCTGATCTCCACTGTGCACGTATGCATGCATGCATGCATGCACGCACGCACGCACGCACGCACGCGCATGCCCACACCCACAGTACATATAACTTTTAAAAAATATTGAAGTTTAGATTCTGAGGCAGAGACTGGAAGATCTCTGTGAGTTCAAAGTCATAGAAAGTTGCAGCCAGAGCTATGCAGTGAGACTCTGAAATAATAAAGATTAGCTATGAAGAGAAGAAGATGGGTTTAGATGATAGAGGAGGGGAGCCTACACAGGGGGTACCAGGAGAGCCTCTCTGAGGTGACATTTAGGTTAAGGCTGAATGGTAAGAGAGAGCCAAGCATGTGAAGATCTAACGGAAAAGCATTTGGCAGAGGGAACAACATATGCAAAGGCCAAAGAACAGGAATGAGCTTGGTGAGTTCAGGACATATCCCACAGGGAGGTTGGTGGTCAGTAGGCAGGGGCTGGACTGCAAGGGCCCATGTGGCTCATCACACAGACTGGGAGGTTTGGAAATGATGAGGCCTGAGTAGTAGGTTTGTTTGTTTTGTTTTGTTTTTTAAGGGAAAGAGGTTAGCACTCATGCCCAGGGAAGATTGGAAGGTAGCTTGTATCGCCTAAACACTCCTCACCAGGGATGCCTTCTGTTCCTGGTTCTCCCTACCCTGAGGGCAGTGTCTTCTCCTGTCTGCCACCGGTCTGGGGGTCCTGTCTCTTTCATTTCACACCTTCAGCCCCTGTACATTCCTGTACAGGGGAGGCTGCCCTGAAGACAGGGCCCGGGTGGATATTCCTATGAGGTTCCTATTCCTAAGTCCATCTTAAATAGGCCAGGGAGGTAGGAGGGGCCAGCACTGGCCAGCCAGCTAAGGGCCCCCTGTGATAGGGGCAGGTGCTGTGTTTTTTCTCTTGGATACAGCCATCTTTGGTGGCTGTGACACTTGGAGAAGTCAGCGGTAACTACAAGTTACCGCTTGTAGGTAACTTAGGAGCACCCCAGGCTCATCAGAGGTTGTGGGCAGTTTCAGGGGATCCAGCTGCAGCTTTAAGTCAGACTGCCTGGAAGCCTTGGGAAGGCCTTTCTCAAACATCTACGAAGCCCCAGGTTCTGTTCATAGCCCAGGCTGGGGGCCGGGGACCCATAAATCCTCAGTTCTAAGGCTGGGACTGAGGTGTGCGTCCCCTGAGATGGATATAGGTTGATAATAATGCTCTGTGTTATGCTGTTTGTTCGGTTAGGTTCCTGTTCTCAACTTTCCCCTACAAGCAGATACAAGTAACCAACGCATAAGAAAGGAAAGAAAGGGCAACCAAGAGTCAGAGTGGTAGAGCAACTTGCCCAAGGTCGCACAGTGAGCTGAGCACACGTACTAGAGATACGGGCTCATCTTGCACAGATCTGTAAGCTTTGCAGGGGAGGACATGGCTGAGCTGGGCCTTCAGTGAATATCTGCCATCTGCCTACCACCCCCGATGCAAGAGACGTGGGCACCTGCAGTCCAGGCAGGAGCGCGCCGAGCGTTGGGGTCCCCTGGCTGGACGGGTCTGAGGGGAGGTGCGATCAATTAGTCGCAGAGACTAATTGTGAGAAAGGAGGAGGGGGAGGGGTAGCAGGGTGAGTGCCTCAGCAGGACAGCCTGCAGAAGCTGGTCCATATCGGGTTACCTCTCTTCCTCCTCCTCCAGCTCCTCTCTCCCCGGCTCCACGCCTTCCCGCAGTGTCCCGGGTGGGGGTAAGCACTGTGCAAGCCTGGCCGCCCATGCCAGCGAAGGGGGCTGTAGGCCTTGCTCCTTCCCTCCTTGGGTCCCGCCATCGCCCCCTCCCTCCACCAGCTCCTCACCTGCGCGCTGCATCCGCAGCCCTGCGTTCACCTTGCGCGCGTCCCTGCAGCCTCTCCGGGCGCCGCATCCTCGGAGATGCTCAGGCTCGGCCAGCAGAGCCCGGCGCTGCCGATCTCATCGCCGAGCCCGCCCACAGGAGTGCGGGATGCTTAACCCTTTCTCTTGGGGATGGACTCTGCCTGCTGCTCCTCACCGCCCCTCTCTCACACACAGCACAGCCAACATGGTCAGATTCCTGTGGGAAACCCTGCAGCTGCTAGAGACAGTTTGTTTGTTTGTTTGTTTGTTTTTTTGCATACCTCTAGAGACAGGGTGCTCACTTCCTCTGGATTCATACAGGCATAGGATCCTTCTTACTGCCTGGAAGATATTCCAGGTCTTTCCCAGAGCATATACATAAAAATGAGCCTACAATTTATTAATTGCTCTTATAACTTGCCTTTCCTCTCATCATTTGTCTTTGTTTTATGAGGCAGGGTTTCTCTGTGTAACAGAGCCCTAAGTATCCAAGACTTGCTGTGTAGACCAGACTGGCATCTGCCTGCCTCTCTGCCTCCAAAGTGCTGGGATTAAAGGCATGTGCTACCACGTGGCCTCCGCTCATAATTTGATAGTACATTATGACACATTTTCCAAGTAATTGTCCATGGCTCTATTTTTTTCTTATTTTAAAATTTATTTATTTATTTATTTTGGTGTTTGTATGTGTGTGGGCTCCATCTGCCATATGGATCCTGGGGCTCAAACTCAGGTCTTCAGGACTGGGGGCAAGCTTTTTTTTTTTTTTTACTGCTGAGCCAGCTTGCTGGTCCTAGATCTACTTCATTTTTGTCTTTGCTGTGGTGATTTTCAGCATATGGTCCACAGATCATGTAAATTCCTTCTTGGCTTTGTGGTTGGATACTCTACTGTCTTAGTCACTGTTCTGTTGCTGTGAAAAGACACCATGACCAAAGCAAGTATTATGAAAGAAAGTATTTAATTGGGTGCTTGCTTCAGAGGTTTAGTCCATTGTCGTCATGGTGGGGAGAACAGCAGCACACAGGCAGGCACTGGAGCACAGCTGAGAGCTACACCCTGATCAGTAAGCAGAGGAGAAAGGGAGCTCATATACGGGCAGGAGTAATTTCAGCATGTAGAAAAAGGAAGCAGGGAGATAATCAGTTTAAGGTAGTTTGGGCTACAGAGTAAGTTCAAGGTCAGCCTGGGATATAGAGAGACCCTTTCTCAAGCTTTTAAAGGACAGTTGTGGTGGTGATCACATTTAAATCCAGCAATTGGGAGGCAGAGGCATATGGATATCTATCTATCTATCTATCTATCTATCTATCTATCTATCTATCTATCATCTGTCAATCATGTAAAGATGAATTTTAAACGAATGGCATCATACTCTGTATTCTGAAGTACTGTTTGTCCTGCAGTAGCTGTGTAGGTTTTTTTCAACACAATCCCTGTGCACTTTATCCTCTTTTTCCCACTAGTTGCCCAGCATTGCATGGCCTGGCCACACTGATATTTATTCAGTCAGTTTCCATATTCCCCTGCCGACTGATGGGTAATGAGGTGGCTTAACAGCTATTTTCACTTCTGGAAACAGTACTGCAATGACATTCCAACCCCTGGATGACCTAGTTTGGATCACCATCCATCTATCCAGCCTATAGATAATGAGTAGTAATGGGTATGACCCTTCATTTAATTTTGCTTTTCTGTTTACCAATATTCCACACACTGGATACTTTTTTTTTTTTTTTTTTTTTTTTTTTTTTGCAATCATAAAAATGATGGGTGCCACTTTTAAAAAGAAAAAGAAAAGCCAGCCAGATAAAGTGCTTGCCACCAAGCCGGATGGGAACCCTGGGAACCCACATGGTAGAAGAACCGAACTAGTTCCCAGAGGTTGTTCTTTGGCTGCCCCATGAGTGCTGAGGCATAAGCACAAGAGCTAGGGAGCCATAGGTAGGTAGATGTCTATGAGCTCACGGCCAGCCTAGGCTACATGTCTGCATGTCAGGCCCGCCAGAGTTATACAGACCTTGTATAAAGCAACAATGAAAGGCTTGGCTTGGGCTGGGGGTCTGGGGGTGTGGCTTAGTGGTGGAGCAGTTGCTGCAAAAAGCTACAACCCTGGACTTCAAGCTCAGCAGCTTCTCCAATCTCAGTGCCTGGGGGATCCGTACTAGGTGAGAAAACAAAAACAACAACATCAAAACAAACAAACAAACAAACAAACAGGAAACAGTTCTTTCACGTGGTGAGCTAAGGTCTCCTTGTGCTCTCCAACTTCTGTTTATCACAGAAAAGTTTAGCACCTGTCGTGCCTGCTGCTTTTAAAACGTTCAGTCAGTGCTGAGGGCTGGGGAGATGGCTCAGAGGTTAAGAGCATCTCTTCCAGAGGTTCTGAGTTTGATTCCCAGCAACCACGTGGTGGCTCACAGCCATCTGTAATGAGATCTGATGGCTTCTTCTGGCCTGCAGGGATACATACAGACAGAACATTGTATACATAATAAATAAGTCAATCTTAAAAAAAATGTTCAGTGCCAGTAGGTAGTTAGTGCTCTTGCACACAGTGTGTCCTGTGGAACACAGTGTGTCCTTCTTTCCCTAGGGCTGCTGGGAGCAGCTGGGGCTGCAGGCTGAAGCGTCTGTACCCCTGGCCTCCCAGCTTTCTGGGATCTGGAGGACAGTGTCCTACTTTATCTCAGGCTCTCAGCTGCTCTCTCACCCTTGCTGTGTGAGGCTTTTCAGAGCTGGGCAGGTAGCTCACTTTCCTCTGGAGTCCTCTCTCTCTCTCTCCATTTCTTTCCATCATTTCCCAGAGAAGAGGATTCTGGGCTTTCATTATGGTGACAACTCTGTTCTGTTAGCATCTTATCCCATTTCCTAGACTCTACTACTCCATGAATATGGCCTGTTATAAGTCATATCTGAAGTGTTGCTAAAGGCCTATTCTAGAGGCTTGTTCATCAGCCTAGGGCACTGTGGGGAGATGGCCAAACCTTTTAGAAGTGGGGTCTAATGGAAGAAAGGTGTCACTGAGGCGGGGTATTAAGGCCCCAGTTTCTCTTTCTCTTTGCTTCCTGGTCACTCTGAGGTGACGAGGCGTCTTCTGCCATCATAAACTGCACCCACCACAAGCCCAAAGCATTAGGCTAAGTGATCATGGAGTCTAACTCTGAGACACGAGCCCAACTACACCTTCTCTCCTTATGGTATGATCCAAATCTTAGGGTGCTTTGTCTTGGTGGCTGAAAGCTGAGTCACTCTAGGTTCACACTGCACTGAAGTTCCTGGCTGCCACATCTCCGTAACACCCACTATGGATCTCCTAGGTTGTTCACAGGGCTGGTGTATGTGTATGTGAAAAACAGTCAGACACACACACACACACACACACACACACACACACACACACACACAATGTAGCATCCTGCCTGTTTGTTGTCAGATGGACACAGATACTCTAGTCTCACGGGACACTCTCTAGACCTTGGTCCTCTATACACTGAGTAATTGGCATTTTAGGGGACTGTCCAGAATCTATCCCCTTTCCTAGCCTCCTCCTAGTTTCCTTTGGGGGAACCCTGTGGGCAGTCTATGTGGGAAGTCAGGCAGTCCTAAGGGTGTTGGGGTAGCTGAGGGCACCAGGTTCTTCTCTCACTGCCCAGTGAATCTCTGATGGGCAATGTGTTGTGTGTGCATGTGCTTGCGTGCGTGCGTGCGTGCGTGCGTGTGTGTGTGTGTGTGTGTGTGTGTGTGCACATGTACATGTAAATGCCAGATGTCAGCCTCAGGTATTCAACTCATTTTTATTTTTATGTATATATTTGATTTTCCAAGACAAGATCTCTCTGTATAGCTCTGGCTGTCCTGGAACTCACTCTGTAGACCAGGCTGACCTCGAACTAACAGATCTGCCTGCCTCTGCCTCCTGAGTGCTGGGATTAGAGATGTGTGCTCTCCCCCCCTCCCCCCATCCTCATTTTTACTTTATTTTATTTATGTGCATGTGTGTTGCTTATGGTTATGTCTGTGAAGCATATGTATGCCTGGTGCCCTTTGAGGCCAGAAGAGGGCATCAGATCCCCTGGAGCGGGAGCTCCAGATGCTTGTGAGCTTCCCTGTGAGTACTGGGATGTGAACTTAGGTTCTCTGCAGAGGCAGCCAAAGCTTTAACTGCCGAGCCATCGCTCTACAATCTCTCTAGTCCCAGTGTCACTTTTTTTTGAGACAGAATCTCTTAGTGGTCTGAAGCTTGCTGATGAGATAAGACTGGGTAAGCAGCGAGCCCCAGGAATCCTCCTGTCTCTGCCTCCCCAGTGCTAGTAATGCAGGCAAACTGCTCCTATGCCTGCATTTATACATGGCTTCTACGGATAAGACTCAGTTCCTTGTGCTTATGTAGAATGACCTTTTGCAGAGTGAACTATCCCCCCAAGTCTCTGGCGGGCCTGTTAAAACGTTAACACTTCTGGAGCAGACACAGCACTAAGCAATGGCTCGGCTCCCCTCCTCAGAGCAGGCTCACCCTGCCCCCTCCATACCACTGCTCACTGGTTGCCCTCTTTGGAGTGGGGAGTTTGATCCCATGAGGTTTCAAAGCTTGAGACTCCAGACAAAGACAGGATGTTCTGATCCCTTTGGCCCGAGGCCAAGATGAAAGCTGACCACTGGAAGGAAAGAGGAGCCCCGAGGCACAGAAGCGGTGTCAGTGGGGAGTGTTAGCTGCCAGGTGCACACTGGGATGGTCTCAGTCCAGAAACTGTCCTTATCATCCTGGAGATCATGGGGTGGGGGACACTGCCGACACACACTTAGTCTGTGACAAGTGTGTCACACACCTGCCCGTGCCGTTCTTTCAAAGTCTCACAGCAGCTCTTTGTAGTGCTGTTTTCTCCACCTGAAAGCTGTTAAGCAGACGTTCAGAAAGGTAAAGGTACCTGCTAAAGGTCACACAGGTACTACGAATTCACAAGACTGACTTCAGGGCCAGGCTCTGAGTGGCGAGGACTACACCCGCCCTCCAGAGGGGAAAAGAACACAGCAGGTCTTCCCTGT